CATCACGAAATTTTTCGTCATGTTTTGCAAAATTTCTTGTAGTGCTTCCAAGAGCAGCCACGCTTCGCCGAGCCGCCGGAGCTAGGGGCCTATTAGGGATCACAATAAAGCTCTCATTACTGCCTTTAAGGCCCCCTCTTCAGGCCATAGCTAGACACTGCCGCAGTCACCAACCTCTTGACCTCAGGCAACCAGGGCTCGTGACAGATTCAACACCCGCTCATGCGCATCTGATCCACACTTGAGCCAGTTCACCACCTGATCTCGCACATCTTTCGCGAGGGAACCGACCCGCTGATTTTCTCACTTGCATCGGTGTCTCACTTCCCAAAGACACATTTTTCATCTGGACGACGCTTCTCTCCGACTACATACTCTTGTACGGATGGACCAGATGGGCTATCCATTGTTCAAATTTGGGTAGTCGTTTTATATTTTTTGTGTTTTATCCCACTTGTAGTGCAGACTACTCATTTCGGTTCCTTTCGTCCTAGGCTCAGATGTTTTCGTTTTGGTTGTTGTTTTTTTCTTTGTTTGCTTTTGTTGTTATTTTTGTTTGCTTTTTGGACGTGTAGATTTGTGATTTTTCAACACGTTTAATGTTTGACTATATATAAGTTGGAGGTCTGACATTAATTCTCATATCCTACCTTTTTTAGATGTTTATTTTATATATAAAAAAATAAATAAATAAAATTGTCAAGTACAGGTAGCAATTTCTTCATGGCTCTTAAACTTGACTTAATTAAAGCCTTTGACAGAGTTGAGTGGTTAAGTGTGAAGAAAATCATGCTGCAGATGGGCTTCCATAGGGACTTTGTTCAGATGATCATGGTCTGTATCTCCACTGCCACTTTCTCTTTCAAACTTAATGGTTCTGTAAATGGATTTGTTACTCCTTCCAGAGGAATAAGGCAAGGGGATCCCCTATCCCCTTACCTTTTTATTATTGTAGCTGAACTTCTCACAGCTTTGATCATGCAATCAGTTGAAAATGGATCTCTGAGAGGTATTAAATTGTCAAAGAATGGTCCCATGTTAACCCACCTCCTGTTTGCAGATGATTCTTTATTTTTTTGCAAGGCAGGCAATGACCAGGCAGCTGTTCTCATGACCATTCTAGAGAAATATAAGCTTTTCACAGGGCAATCTGTCAATCTGCAGAAATCTGCTATCTTTTTTAGCAGGAATACTCCCCAGCCTCTTCAATCCTCTATCTGCTCTGGTCTTAATGGGATTGTTTGCCATAGATCTACCAGGTACCTTGGCCTGGGATAGGCAGATCAAATAAAGAGGTTTTTGATTATGTGTTGAACTCTGTCAGAAACAAGCTGCAAGGATGGCAAACTAAATTTCTTAGCCCTGCAGGTAAAGAGGTTCTTATTAAAGCAGTGATCCAAGCCTTGCTTATTTTCTCTATGTCCTGCTTCAAACTTCCTCAAGCTATCTGCTCTGAAATTTCCAAGCTCTGTGCTAAGTTTTGGTGGAACACATGAGACCCTCAGACAAGTGGTATTCATTGGAACAAATGGTGTTTTATGTCTTTACCTAAGGGAGAGGGGGGACTGGGTTTCTTGGATCTGCAAATGTTCAGTCAAGCCCTCTTGTGCAAGCAACTATAGAGAATTGCCTCTAATACTAATCTTCTGGTCAGTAGAATCCTCAAGGACAGATACTTTCCAACAACTTCAATTACTCAAGCTGTCAAAACTCAGAGAGGATCTTGGATGTGGAACTGTTGGCTTGATGTGCTACCTTTCTTCTCTAAATGGTTCAAGACTGAAATCAGAAGTGGTTTGAACACTAAAATCTCAGAAGCAAATTGGGTGCCTTCTCTCCATCAATCTCCATCTCTCTTACCAATTGCTAGAGACCATCTCATATGGGTTAAGGACCTCCTTCTTTCTGATGGTTATTCTTGGAATGAATGGTTGGTAAGGCAGTTTTTTAACCCTCTGGAAAGTGCAGTAATTCTGAATATCAACTCTCTTCACCCCAACTGAAATGACAGGCTTTATTGGGGCTTGGATAAAAAAGGCATTTTCTCTGTCTCCAGTGCATACACTTCTCTATCTAAGCTGAAGCTGCAACAGTTGGACATCCCTGAGAGCAGCTCTTCTTCCTCTTTGTGCAAATCAATCCAGTTCAGACATTGGAAGTTGAAGGTTGCTGGTAAGTTAAGGCACTTCATCTGGAAATGCATCAATGGTACCTTACCTGCAGCTGTTTCTCTTAGGAAGAGGAGAGTGGATATTGATCCTATCTGCTCCATATGTGATGACTGCCCTGAAACCATTGAACATATTATTCTCTCTTGTACAAGGGCCTGTAAGACTTGGGATATTTCCCCTGTGAGATGGGATGGCATATCAAGCTGCAAGGACTCCTTTAAGGTATGGTGGTATCATCTTTATTCTATTGATCACTCCGAAGTTGCCGAGGACAGAATCCAATTATCAACATACATTCTTTGGTGGCTTTGAAAATCAAGAAATCTTTGGATATTTCAAATAACTCTCATGCCTGAGGAAAAGTTGCTGAAGACTGCCCATGCAGATTGGACACAATTTGTCTCAGTTCACTGATGTTGGTTTAGTTTGCTTTTCTGTTTTTTGGTTTAGTTTGCTTTTCTGTTTTGTTTGGGGAGTCTGCTTATCCTTCTAGGCTTTTAGCAGTAGAGAATGGTAGACTCCTTTCTTGTGTATGGTTATTTAGTTCTTTGTGGTGTTTCCTCTTGTTGAGGTTCTAGACCGCCTTTGGGTGTGTCTCTCATTTTATCATTTGCCAATTTTTTGATTGTATATGTACTCTGTATTCGGACTTTGTCCCCTCCGAGTTTTATGAAAGCTTCCCCATTATTTTGGAAAAAAAAAGGTCAAGAATGATGTGAACGTGAGCTTCACAATCACTTGGAAGATGTGAATTTATCATTTTTATGACGTTGCTGGCTTATACGTGAATTAACACGTGGCTTCAATACATTTCGTTTACCATAACTAGTACAACACCTGTGTATTACACGGGTGCTTGTTAAAAAATTATTTTTAAATTTTAAAATTAATGAGAAAACTATATTAAATTTAGTTTACTTTTTTACAAAATAATATATTACTATATATTTTAGAATGATATGTGTTACTTATGACTTACATGTGTATAACTGATAAAAAATACAAAAGTTTGTAACTTTTAAAATATATCTACAATTCAATAGTTATAATAAGGAATGATATTAAAATACAATTAATACATGTAACATGACCATAAATAATCAATATATTTATGGTAATTCGAACCTAATTATTTTTGGTTTTGGATTAAATTAAAATTTACCCAAGCCTAATAACGAAGCATGTAATTTTGCCACATAGGATTTCTAAACACCTGAAACAGTCATGTAGACTCAGCGCATTCTGTTAGGCCTCGTTTACTAGCATTGATAGGATTGGATAAGGTTGGTTAACCAACCTTATCATACATTTACTAGGTGGTATGGGGAATAGGATTCAGCAGATGTGGCAAGCGGGTCCCACGTTTAAATGCTGAGTGGCCGGATTTTTTTGTCCCACCAATTTGGCCAGATAATTTTATCCTCGTCTTCAAATTACCCTTTTGTCCAAAAATTACCACTTAAAATGTCTAAACTACCCTCGATTGTCCATCAAATTACACAATTCGTCATATAAAAGATATTTTTGTGTCTTTCTCACACAATTCTTTCGATCGATGAACCCTAACGCTGCCCAGGTATGTTCTTCATTTTTTATTTATCTTTTTCTTTTTTCACCCACTAATTTTAAATCATTTGGGATTTATCAATCTTGTATGAATGGTACACACACCTGTAATTTTTTCAAGCTTGTGTGTAGCTGAAATTCGCCCCCAAAGTTCGAACTCGTCACTCCCCTATTATTTTGTTTCCCTAAATTTTCGAATTACTCTGAAATACTAAAAAAATCGTTGTAAGTACACTTGTCCCTTTTCCTGTTTTTCCTACTTTCACGCCTGTACTCAGCGTTTGATCTCTCTACATGATGTGTATCTTTGTATAAATGGGATTTTCATTATTGTTATGGTTTTAATTCAAAAATTCCTTTAAGTGAAATCTGGACATTGTGTTAAGAGGTTGATGATTTGGGTGTGAATTAAGTGGTGCAGATTGATGCTATGACTAGTAATTTCTGGTCACATATTGATAATTTGTTATGTTTTATTTTCAGGCATCGATTTGCTCAAATGTGTATATGAGAAAAGTGGGAAGAGAAGAGAAGGGTACACTAGTCATTTCAATTAAAATCAGATAATCTTATCCTAGTTTGTAAATATTAGCATTACAATGTAAACATGATACAAATGATGAGGTGGAAAGTTGAGGGGACTAATTTGTCTAATCCCATCAATCCTAGTAAACGAGGCCTTAATATATAGGGGATAAGAAGTGAACCGAAAGGAAATCAAATATTCATATAGGGGATAAGAAGTGAACCGAAAGGAAATCAAATATTCTTGTATTGTTAGCCAACCAACAGTGTTAGCGGAAAGGGAAGCGTGTGAGCAATATTTGTCAGAGTCCAGCCAGGTGGTGTGGAAACTCACATAACTTAGGTCAACTGTTGGACACCAACTTCTCATCTTCCAAACACTCGGAAAATACTTTAATAAGGAAAAGGTTGATATATATCGGAGGGAATTTTGAAATATTATAAGAGAAGTCTTATCCACATCTCAATTTTAAGAAAGCAACTATATGTGGAAACCATTCCTATATTCGGCCACGAACACCAAAATGCGCCAAACCCACCTAACACTACTGCATCATACTTGCACGTCTAAATCTTGGAAAACCCTCCAATAAGAAATATTCTGGTCACCGAATAAAAACCAATGCCCATCAAGACATCAGCAGCACCCTTGTTCACATATTATTACTACAACCACAACAGTTCATCATCATTTATTCTCCAATTATACTACTCATCAATTAATTGCCCACAATCACGATGATGAACACCACCTTCTCCTCCTCCTCTTCCACAATTTTCCCCAATAACGCGGCCGGAAATATGCACAATATCCTCCACCTGATGATGTCCGAAATGCACACGGTTGAACTGCTGGCATCCATTTTAGTGTTCATATCCATACACTCCCTCCGCCAGAAATCCCGGCACGGCCTCCCCTGCTGGCCTCTCCTCGGCATGCTCCCTTCCCTCCTCCTCGCACTCCAGGGAAATGTGTACGAGTGGATCACCCACATCCTCCTTTCCCGCCAAAACAATGGGACTTTCGTGTTCAGAGGCCCCACATTCAGCAACCTCCACTGCATGGTCACTGCAGACCCGCGCAACCTGGAGCACCTCCTAAAGACGAGGTTCTACAATTTCCCCAAGGGAGGATACTTCCGCAGTACGCTGCGTGATTTCCTCGGGGACGGCATCTTCAACGCTGATGGCGGAGAGTGGCGAGCCCAGAGGAAAATCGCCAGCCTGGAGTTCCACTCTGCCAAGTTCAGGCAGATGACAACGAACTCGCTGGTCGATCTGATTCACTTGCGCCTACTGCCCATCCTCCAGGAGAAATCGGAGTCAGAGTCGGAGTCGAAGGCCTCGATCATTGACCTCCAGGACATCCTCCTCAGGCTGACTTTCGACAACGTGTGCATGATAGCCTTCGGAGTGGACCCAGGCTGCCTAAGGCCCGGCCTGCCCCAGATACCATTCGCGCGGGCCTTCGAGGCTGCCACCGAGGCAGCCATCTTGCGCTTCGTGATGCCGACTCTATTGTGGAGAGGAATGAGGCGGTTGGGGGTGGTGTCCGAAGGGAGGCTCAAGGAGTCGGTAAGGGCAGTGGATGATTTTGCGCACCAGGTCATACGTGCCAGGAGGAAGGAGTTGGAGTTGGAGACCACCACCGGGAATCCAAAATCAAAAAATAATCTGCTGACGCTGTTCATGGGGCTGAGGGACGAGGATGGACAGCCGTTCTCCGATTCTTTCTTGAGGGACGTGTGCGTCAACTTCATACTGGCCGGGAGGGACACGTCGTCCGTGGCATTGACCTGGTTTTTCTTGTTGCTCAATGGGAGTCCCGAGGTGGAGGGGAAGATTCTGGCAGAGATATGTGGGATAGTGAGAGAGAGAGGAGATCAGGCAACACTAGCACCAGATTTTGTTTTCCGGCCGGAGGAGGTGAAGAGGATGGACTACTTGCATGCAGCACTGTCCGAGGCTCTTAGGTTGTATCCATCAGTGCCCCTTGATCACAAAGAGGTACTAGTAATTTCTGCCTTCCCTAAATCATTTTACCACTTCATGAATCATGACTCATACTTTTTTAATTACCTAGCTATCCACAAATTTATTCATTTCCTACATAAATTAAAAGCTCCTATATATATATATATATTTCAATTTTCTTTTTTACCAAAAAAATAAAATAAAAAAAAAAGACATGAATTAAATTACTATCACATTTATTCTATTTTCTTCTACCTAGATCTTCTTCCTGCCAATCCAATATAAATAATAAAATAATATAATAATCCAACTTTTTACCAAAAACCTTTCTATAAACTAACATCGAATCGATTGTTGCAAAGTAGGAAATTAGCAAATAATAATGTACTACGAACTGCTAAATTATTTTACTTTTAGTACACTATATTAGTTATTTTCCGAAAAAAAGGTTCATCATATCGGGTGCGCGTCATAAAAAATAGACCACTAAATTGCACTTTAATCAAAAGGCGTACAATAGTCAACATAGTGTACTAAAAATAATAACAAAAAATGATCACTTTTAGTACACTATATTGGTTATTATACGAATTTTGATTAAAATAGCAATTTAGTGGATCATTCTTGATCACGCCCTATATGTTGAATCCTTTTTGAAAAATGACTAACATAGTGGACTATTTTTTAAATTTTACCTACTACGAACTAATTAGTTCATGTGTAACTAGTTATGCAAATACTTATGACAAAGTATGCAAATTAATTAAATTGATGAATATATATCGACATAATACAGAAATATTTTTTTTTTTTTACTTTTGATATTAGCTTTTTTATCATTTTACATTTTTTCATGATGTATAGTTATAATTTATTGATTGGTTAATATGTATATATTCGTTTATATTTTATTTTATTGTTCATAAAATTCTTGAATTACAGCTACGATAATTAATAAATTATTAATTATTTTTTATTATTTAGAAATTAGATATTATGAATAAGTTTTCATTTCGAGTCTATAATTATGTGTATGGTGCTTCGATGCACTGATTTTATTCTTTCCATTTTATATATAAACAATATTTCAGTTGTATAGATGAATTTTCTTATCTAATTTTAGCTTCAATTTATAAACCTGTGTAAAACAAATATGTGAAAAATGTTATTTGACATTATTTTATTATAGATAAATTATTTTTATTATATTTTTTAATAATTAACTTTTTTTAGACTAATTCATTATTTTAAAATGATATTAATAATAACAAATTTTATTTTGTACTAAATTTTTTAGTGATACATATAAATATATATCACCGTTCTGGTCATGCATGTGGGATTGTCATGTGGTAACAGCCAGGTCCCACATTGGGTAAAGTCTTAGGCCGGCTTGTTATATTATTGCAGTTTAACTAAAAGCAATATGTTTCAAATAAAACGATTATAGTTGATTTGATTAAAATAATTAGAAAATAAAATATATTTAAAATTATGTGGGTTATTAAATAGTTAATTAAAGTGGAAATGATCCGTAAAGATGATTGATTAATATTATTTAATTATTTAATAATATTAAGTATAATGAAGTTGAATAAAATTTGAGATAGATTTGAATAGAAATTTGTTGAATTTATTTTTATTTTTTTTATTTTTTTATTTTTTTTTTAAAAAAAGCAATCACGCCCCTGGCCGCGGATAAGCTTGAAAACTGCTAAGGCTAGGTTATTTAATATTATTATATATGCATAAATGACAATTTACCATGAATATTTAAAATTGTATCTTTGTAGAACTTATATCCAAGAGTCCAGGGGATAAAGCTCTGTTCATTCCAATATATTTCTTGTTATACATGTACATATAAGTGTAATAATTAATAACCAGTATTTAATATCATGCTTTTGTGTTAAAATTTATAAATAAAAGTACCTTTAAACTTTATGCAAGTTCAACAATTAGAATGCATAGCTAGTAAAAGAATTTATAAAATATACTTATTGATACCCCTTTTGACCTTGTGGGTTTTGATGTGAGCTATATAAATAGGTGTTATTTGAATCGGGCTTAGTTTGAATTTGTGTTCTTTAATATAAGAGGAACAAAAGGCTCGATTCAAGCTTCATTCAAAAGGAACAAAAGGCTCGATTTAATAAGAAAGATATTGTTTAGATAAATATTTAAGTAAATGAATGAGTCGAACTCAAACTTTCATGAATTGAAATGTGTTACACAAATAGCTTAATTCAAATATATAATAACTATAGCGCAATTGGGTCCAACCATTCTAAAACCATGAAGATGTGTTGCGATTAACACATTAGAATGTGTAAGATACAATTTATCGCATGAGCTATTTGTTTGTGTTATAGTAAAACAGTTGGAGAAAGTTTGTTGGATGTTTTTCTAACCTTTAACTCACCTTTTTCCATTCGATTTTTTTTTTAAAAAAAAAAAAAAAAATTTATATTCAACCGCACGTCACAACCAAAAAGAAAAATAATTCCAAATTTCAAACAAACTTTTATTAAGGAAAAGAAAAAATAAAAAACACTAAAATTAGTTGTTTCATATGTTCATATAGGTATTGGAGGATGATGAGTTTCCAGATGGAACAAAGCTGAAGAAAGGAACAAAAGTAGTGTACTCAATCTACTCTATGGGGAGAATGGAAAATATTTGGGGAAAAGACTGTAGAGAGTTCAAGCCAGACAGGTGGCTGCGGAACGGCCGGTTTATGAGCGAGTCGGCCTACAAGTTTGCAGCTTTCAACGGAGGGCCCCGTCTCTGCCTGGGCAAGGACTTCGCTTACTACCAGATGAAATTCGTGGCAGCCTCGATCTTGTTCAGGTACCGCATCGTGGTCGTGGAGGGCCTCACGGTCGAGCCAAAAATGGCCCTGACGATGTACATGAAATACGGGCTGAAAGTGTACGTGAGGAGGCGTGACCCTATGGAAATAGAGAGCTACAACTTTAAATTACCACATTGATTTGCATACAATATGCTCTCTTGGTATTATTGTGTGGCATCACTTGGACTACATATATGATCCATGCTCATAACATTGTTAAAGAGGGTGAATTCGGGAATACCGTTTGGAAGGGTTTTTTCTTTCTTTTAGAATAAATGAAATACAATTTGGCTGCATTTGCATATACAATTGATTTATTGTGCTTGTATTTAGTAATCTATGTACACAGCCGGTCCAGGCACTGTTAGAAATATTTATTGGATACACATGTAAATTAAATGTGTATAGTTATCATGATTAATTCAGTTAAAGTGATCTACTAAATTTATGATTTTGAATAAAATAGAGTATCAAATTATTATGGATTTAAATTGTTGCTGATACCAGTATTTTCCGTTTGTTGAGACATCGGACGGAAAATTAATTAATATTATTTATTTGGTTATGGCCCCAAACAACGTAAAATTATAAGCACATTTTCGAATAGGTACTTCAGAAAAACATGAGTAGACTTTCGAAGAGGTACTGAATAAAAACATATGGAAAACATACGTAAAACATACGTATACTTTTGCTATAAGGTTTCGATCGTTTCGATTTGACGCGCACAAGGTTAAATCACAACAAGTGGTACTAGAACTATTAAATTTTGGAGGATCAAATTTTAATCTGCTTGATATACTGTGCGAATCTATGCGAAATTAATAGCTCTGAAATCATGAAATTTGGTAATACTGTTGTTCGAATTTTATACCATTAGTTTATATGAATTCATCAATTAACTCATATCCCATGTCACGTGATTGTTTTCTTTAAACATTCAAAAGCAAATGAATGATTTATTATTTGTTTAAGAAATATGATTCATATTCTTTGGAAAATATTTGTTACGAACAGTATCAAAGAGTCCTTTGCATAATTGAATTCAAAGGCCATATACTAATTTAATCAAATTCTGTAAACGTTGAGTAAATGGATTCAATTGTTGTGAGCCATTTTTTTCATTGGCTGATGTGAAACATGTTCGTGAATTATTTGGCGAGGATTCATATATTGAATTTATTTTTTCAAAGAGAATTTGAATCATTGCTTTGGTATTTTCGGATTTGATTGTCTTGAATATTATATATTAATTGTTATTAAGCATAAGGGCATTGTTGTATTTTAACATTTCAATTGTTTTGTTCAGAGTTTCAAAATCGTGTTTTAGAAACAATATTTTTAGTTCTAACACATTGTAGTATAAACAGTTGGATTAGGGTTTGCATCATTCATTCTGTACTTTCATTTTTCCGCACACCACACTTTCTCCTTTTACAGAAATAAAGCTTTTCTTTCATTGTTCTTCATTTTCTCTTCTTCGATATAAAAATTATTATGGTATCATTAGTTGGAATCTGTTAAGATCCTGCTTCCGCACCTTTTACTTTACCAGATTCATTCATGATTTCTCGATTTGGCTCGAAATTGTTTGCGTTAGGGTTTCTGACCTTCTGATATCTAGCCGATCTTCGATGATTTTTCCATCTGCCTACTCTGATATGATCAGGTGGATACATACTGCCACTCGTTCGATTTGGCGTTACAACCTCTGATTTCTGGTTAAGCTCCCAGATTCAGATCTAATATTTGATTATAGCAACGATTCCACCAGCTGACGATCCGACTTCTCCATTTTTCTTGCACCCGAGCGATAATCTGGGCGCACTCATTGTTGCCGAGCAGTTTTCTGGTGAGAATTATGTGTCATGGTCCCGTGTTGTTCTAATGGAACTCAATGTAAAAAACAAATCAGGTTTCATTGATGGTACAATTTCGATCCCTTCTACTTCTTTCCATCCTGCTCAGTATACTGTTTGGGTACGTGCTGACAATCTTGTTTTATCTTGGCTGATGAACTCTGTGTCTAAAGATATTAGACAGCCTTTGTATTTTTACGTCTGCTCAAGTTGTGTTTGATGAACTTAAAGTCTAGGTATGCCCTCAATAGTGGTCCCAGGGTTTTCCAACTTGAAAAATCTCTCATTTATTACAATACTTTTATATACTTGTGGGATGAATACATTACTTACAGACCTATATTTCACTGTACTTGTGGTGCCTTTAATTTATGGACTTACAATATATTTGATTCCATGTTGTCTGCTCAACAACAAGATGCTCTTATGAAATTTCTTTTAGGTCTTTGATATAGCCATATAAAGACATGTCGGTCCAAAGGCTCTGCTCGACTAGAGAACAGGTAAAATCGGCTATATCTCAACATATGCCCATCGACATCCCCAAGTCGACTTCTGTGTAGTCGACCTTTTATCGTGATAATGGCTCAAGACCTCCTGCCAGCCGATGTTGTGAAGCCGACCTGGTACAACTCGACGTCTAGAAGTCGACTGGCACAAGGTCGACATCTTCCTATGTATAGCCGCTGAATCAGAGCCTAAGATGAATTGTCCATACTCGAGGTCGACTCCTCGCATCTCGAGTCGTAATGCATACTGATGACCCCACACACTTGATACATTCCTTGGGAACCTTTTGTCCTCTTATGGATAATAGGGAATCTGGGTATGACTCAGCAAGGAGGGGAGACGAATCGACCAGGGCAATTTTGACCTTTTAGGTCCACCGACTTGGGGCATTTTGGGTATCTTAGGTAAGTTTTCCCTCCAATATAAAGGAGAAGAGGTAGCCCTAAACCCTAACTCCCATTCACTCCATACTCTCCTCTTCTGCTGCTGCTGCTCTCTAAGAGCAGCTTCTCTTCATCTCTTTCACATACTGACTTGAGCGTCGGATGCTCTACGCCAGAAACACCTCGTGCGTCGAGTTTTTGTAGGTATTCTCGCGGTCCAGCAGCGGTTCAAAGGCGATTTAGACAGATCTAGGCTCGTTTCCACCGGTTCCTCTGGATTTGAGAGTAGACCCATCATTTTGGCGCCGTCTGTGGGGAGTTCTTGAAGGAATTAAGAGCTTTGCACCTAGCTCCGATCTGTCTCTGATGGATGAGAAGGAAGGTTTGCAGAGGAACTTGAACGAGGAGTTTAGGGGGGCTTGGACGGATAGGAGACCACCACCCTTTTCCACCCTTAGACCTCCGGCGATGCAGGTACTGGGACTACCACCGTTTGGAGGACTTCCACCTCCGGGATTGAATCTGGGTGGAGAAACGCCCATTACTCCACCTGGAGTGAAAGTACAGGTGCTGACCTCAGCGGGAGCAAGTCAAAACCCCAATCCAAACGAACGAAGGGAACAAACGGAGATATCTCGACGCGAGAGAAAGCAAATCCAGGAGGTGTCGGAGCAGACACTTGCACAACCCCGTGTCGAGGAGCAAATGGTGACAATGACGAGAAGTGAGATGAAAAAGATGATAGCGGAAGCAGTAGCAGCTCAACTGAAACAAACCCAGACTGAGCAACCCAGAGTCGACCAACCCAGGATCGAGCCACTAAGGATAGAGCAACCACAGGTCGAGCGCGAACAACAGGCCCAGTCCAATGAGAGGCAAAACAGGAGGGCGGAAGAAGAAGCATCCTCCATTAGGACTGTTAACTCGCAAGCAAGAGATGAGACACTGGAGCAATTGTTGGCCCAAGTTCGCGACCTACAAGCCCGAGTCGAGGGGAGGAAAACTGGAAGTTCGAAGGGGCATCCATTCTCGCAGCACATCTGGATGCCGACCTACCCCAGGGTTTCCGTGATCTAAACATAAGTTATGATGGGTCGACTGTTTCGTTATAATGACCCAGTGCAATGTCGGGCTTTCTTGATGACTTGGCGAGGGTCTGCAGAGGATTGGTTCCATCAGTTGCCATCGGGGGCTATCAAAGATTTTGATGGATTCAGTTCGAGCTTTCTCAACCAATTCGCAAGTGTTAAGCCTCAAGAGAAGTCCTATGTAACCTTAATGGGCTTACAGCAGAAAGAAGACGAATCACTGCGACACATTATGGCGAGATATACGCGTGCGTGCGTCGATGTGCCCAGGGTGTCAGAAAAAATAAAGGCAGGAGGATTGACTCGAGGTTTTCTGCCAGGTTTGTGCAGGAATTCTTTGGAAAAGCGCCCGGGTAGAACGTTCGATGAAGTACTGGGGAGATGTGCGAAGTACATGAATGTCGAGAAAGTAGAGGCCGATTTCTTGCAGGCGGCTAAGGCAGCTAAAACCAGTTCTCGGGATGAGAGGAAGGAAAAGAAGAGTTCCTCGACTGGGGAGAGAAGGGGATCCCCACGAGCAGAAAGAGAAGGGCGATCTTGAAGTTGGAGGCTCACTCATTACTCCCTTGGCGGCTCCCCAAGCTAGGATTCTGGAAGTCATGGAGACGGAGATTCACGACAACGTTGTGAGATAGCCCAAGAGGAGGAAGGACGGACCAATGAAGCCCAAAAGCAACCTGTATTGTCGATTCCACAAAGATTATGGGCATAACACTGACGATTGCAAACATCTTAAAGACGAGATTGAGAGGCTGATAAAAGCCGGCCATTTGAAAGAATTCATATATAATCGCGAGAGATCGAGTCGAAGGAGAGAAAGGAGTAAAAGTCCTCGCACGAGGGCGAGATCACCCGAGAAGGAGGAGCCCTCCCCGAATAGGGGAGTAATTCATATGTTCTTCGGAGGGTCGACAGATGAAGACTCCAATCGGGCGAGGAAGGCGTATGCTCGAGGGCGATACGCGAAGGTCGAGGTGCAACAAGTTGAAGAGAATGGCCTGGTAATGAATTTCAGACCCCCTGATGTGGGGGGGGAGGGTCGAAAGGCTACACAACGATGCCTTAATGATAACGGCCCAAGTATCGGGGTATGAAGTACATAGAGCGTTTTTCGACACCGGAAGCTCAGTAAATGTGATTTTTTACGAATGCCTCAAAAGAATGGAGCTCGACATCGAGCTCACACCACTACACACATGCTTTTCGGATTCAATGGATCAGAGGTCGCCCCACTGGGAGAAACCATGCTCGTTGTCGTGCTGGGGAAGGGGGACTTGAGGAAGGTGAAAATGGTACGG